CCCCAGTTGGACAGGGCTTATAGTTATATGTGAGGGTTGTGGTTAGCTGTTTGCGGCCTTTTTATCGTATTGGACAATAGCAACCGTTTACTGTGATTTGATTGGTTGTTCCGTTGTCATGGTAACCATCCTTTTGCTCATTGGTAAACTGGCTTTGCTAGAGACGGTTGCAAAAACAGTTCTAAGCAGTTTGAAACCGGTTCAAAACCGGTTTGCGGTTGCTCTAGCAAAGCCAGTCGAACAATGAGAAAAACGATGGTTACCATGACAACGGAACAGATAATCAAATCACAGCAAACGGTAGCTATTNACCAATAGGATAAAAGGGACGCAAACAGCCAATTCTAACCCTCAAACATAACTATTTAAGCCCTATCCCACTGGGGATTGGCGCTTCCTTGAAGTCGCACTGATGGCGTTGCCTAGTTTGGCTACGAAACGTCTGCAAACTACAATTCCGGCGCGGAAGTGACTTGACTTGACTTGACTTGGAGAACTCACCAACACCAACATCTGCATCCCGAGCTAGAATCAGTTCATATCATTTCTATCGGGACCTATGTGACCTATGGTGACATGCCACCCAAAATAGAAAAGAACCTGGTTTGTTGTCTAGCGGATAGGGTAATAAAGATCTGCGGTGAGGGTACGGTAGAAGAATAGCTGGGAGTAATAAAATCGACTGTTGCATGAATATCCGGAATGTTTAGTTAACAAAATGATTCTGTGCATGTAGAACTCTTTGCAAACCACCGAAGTTAAGAAACAAATCCTTGTGCATTTCTTTGCCGTTTAAGGGAACACATCAGTTGAGATTATACAAATGATATTCGTGTTGTGTGTATTTGGTATTGAAGGATAAAAATCCAGACTCTACAGTCGCATTCTGTGTATTCTCAATTAATTATTCCCATAACACAACGCACATAGGTCGCACAGTCAGGTCCGAACGGTTTAGCGAGTATCACCTTGCGGGACTCAACACCGGAAAGATTAGGTCAGTCACCAGTGCAATGGTTTCACACATCTAGCTGAAAAAAATCACATTGTAGACCTAGCCGAGGCTATTCTCGTCCTGTATAAAATTCAGGAGTCCAAAATAATTTGTACAAACGCTAAAGCTTCTCTCGATTTTATTCCAGTCCAAATGGGTCATATTAATCTGGTTGATCACAAACGTATACTGTGATGACGAGAAGGATGCCAAAAATATGACCTATTTGTATTTTCAAATGCCAAATACAATGCCAATAAAAGATCAGTTGTCACAACGTACTGGATTCCTTCCGGGCACAATCGGTTCACGACTCCTACCGGTCATTTGGCCACCCACCGGAAAAATGGCTCCCGTGTCTCCGATCACTCTGTACCGATCTAATCGGGTCCAGTCGCAAACAGTTGAAGATTATTGCCAGTCCAAGGAAGTGCTCGATTTTTCCCAGGTTACCGAGTTTATTCATTGGTTTATTCGGCAAAAACTCAAAGCTCGTCTTGTGGCGTCCAAATCGAACGATTTGAATGAGAAATTTATCCGACCGTTTATTGCTACCGTACCGACTGCTCGCTCCGAGTTCGTCACATTCTATTGTATGCTACGCAAAACGCCCCAAGTCTCGTTGACGGCAAAAAACCAATTGAAAATCACCCTGACATCCCAATCAGATTTGTATCGGTTCTGTCCGAGTCCATGCGCGTCTCGTGAGGGACCGGGGATGGGAAGTGCCGAACGAGCCCAGCTAACTCGATTCACCAAACCGTGCAGTTATCCGGCCAACAATTTCCCATTCATCTCACGCAAATGCACCGAGGAGGGCCAAGGTAATATCGTTGAAAATATTCTGTTGTTCCACTTATTCACTTTCAACAATTTGTATTGCGTGCAACTTTGTGCTTTTAACTGCACCAAACAAAAGGACTAGATAGTGAATGGAACAAGTGTGCACAATCACTGGATAGTCCTATCTGGTAGTGTTTAGCATAGGAAAATTGGCCACCTAATCTGATCATCATTTTGTTACTTAATGTTAACAGCTTGAGATTAAGATCATGTAATAACGGTTCGAATGATCAAATACTGTCGTATTCAGGTGATTGAGTCATGACATATATCTTTAACACACGTCTGACACCAGACTATGTCAAACAAACCATGGTACAATAATTTTTATGAAAAAGATGTTCCACGATTTGCATGTGGGCTGATTACTGCCAGGTTGCCCTGATCAAAGAAGGTGAATTTTCCTGGGGAATTCACAACCGGAGCATTCGGTTAACAGAAGCTTGACTCGCGAGGCAGCAAGGAGCGGTGTGTGAAAAGCGCCATCCATTGGGGTCCGATGTCCTACTCATTGGATCATACCTCTTTTGAGGTCAAACGTCCAAGGTGCCCAATACACCTCGATACCCAATCAAGCCGGTGACCACTCCCACAAACGAGATGTGTATGGTTCTTAAGCCTCCTCTTGGTTGATTTGGAACCAGGGCTTTTAACCAACTCACCTAGGTGAACTAAGAGCGGTTCACCAACCCGTTTATAGCCCCGGATATCGGCTTTCTGTCCTCTCATCTTGGTGGAAAAATACTTAGGCCACGAGTAGGCACTCGGTAGGGCTTCCTCAGCAGAGACTAATTGAGACGCTTAGTCGTATGCGAGAATTTCACGAGGTGCATCCTAGCTTCTCAGTGCACGCTTCATTTGTTCTATACACAAGAAATTCTCCTCCCCCGATGAAATCGAATTAAATTCTCCATTAATTTCATGTGATAATCAGTGATTCAATCTCTTGTGAATGTGGTTTACAAAATGCTGTTAGAGAATCCCCATTTTTCTGCCTGCAATTAGAACCACGAAACTCGGAGCGCTTATTATCGCATTGAGCTTGTATACTGTTTCAACCCGATTCGACCCGGCAAAATCGGTTTATTATTTTCGAAATAGGCACAACCTCTTTTGGAACGCTCTCAAGCTGAGTGATCAAAAAATTACCATCTTGAGATTCGAATACAACACATTTCACTGTTCCCATTTGGGAAAAGCATTGTTGATTTAATTTTAGCTCGTTTTGATCCACTTAAGATTGTTCCATATGTATTGACTAGGTTCTCGAGCAACTGCGAAACGGTGTTTTATGCGTCGGAATCCAAGTGATGTTAGAACTGTATCGAAAAATTGATGTGCAATGTGTTGTGTTTATTATGAATGTTAGATAGTGTTGATAACACAGATTTTCCTCTAAATTATTTTATTGTAAAAACGCGACTTGAGTAAGGTTACTCACGGTAACCGAAGCGTCCGCGAATATAATTCTCTACCGATATTGCTGTGTTATTAACACTGTAACATTGACAAGTTTTTATGCGATTTGTAACAATCTGATTAACCAATGATGTTTTCAATGTTCAGTTTGAAAAATCTGATAGAGGATGCGCACATTGACCGCGGTTAAGTGAAAACGGAAGTTGGGCTTCAAAAATCCCGTAAATTTTGATTTGTTTGACCTTACTGGTAAACTGTTGAATGATATTCGATGGATCACTTAAACAGGAGGCATCTAAGATTATTTGTGATTGAGAGGAAGAACTAAACTAAAGGAAGAGGGGTTTTTCTAGCTGGGCCCCTAAGGCTTTAGGACACGACATACATCACGGCAGCCCACACTGAAGGAGGCTTTTTCTTTGGGAACCTTAATTGGAGCCTTCGACTCAAAAGTCTGACCCAAAAGTCAGTAGGCTCAACGCGGGAATAAGACCGAAGCACTCATGTGGAAGCTTCTAGAGACCCGTCACGCAAGGCATTCGGGTTTTTGCTTCGGTGTATTGTTCGCTGGTGCGTTCATTGTCAGGACTGATCCGTGGTCTCATGCATCCAATGAGAAACGGGACAGCACTTTATTAGTTGGGGGCTGCCCAGCTACGGCGAGTGGTAGCTATCCAGTACAGTGTGAAGACTTCCCACCCTCGAGTGAAAACTCCAGGTACCCAGCTCCTACGACCCGTAAACTGCCCCTCACCTTGTTTACTTGCTGGAGTGATCTTTCCAGGGATGGGTGTTGATAGAAGGAAACCATGAAGTATCCAAGTAGCTGACTTTGTGGGACTGAGTCTTATCTGGATCCTACCCAGTGATCTTTCAGGCATGATGGGATCTACGGCTGTAAAAAGCCATTCGGTGTAGCTCTCAGGGTCCTGAAGGCATGCAAGCTATTACGCCAAGATGCAGTCTCGTCTTTCTGGAATCAATAATGTTTATACATTTGACACAACTAAAACATAATAACCTAAGTAATGGTGTTGTTGTTTTACGGGAAGAGTACGGCACTTTCTCGACGACCTTTCGGAAGTATAACGGGAATGAGATTATTCCAAGTTCCAAGTTGCTTTGAGAACTGCCCGTTGTGAAAACATCAACCAAAACTATCACAGAGCCACCAGCAAAAACTAGGTGGCAAATTTCAAACCTCGTCTTTATTTTGATCAACCACCTGTGAATAAACTCGTAGCAGTCGTCGAAGGCAATGATTGTTAGTATTGCGTTCCCGTGACGGGGTGTTTCCCCATCAAGTGGAGAGCGGACGAAAAACCAACATCCGGTACCATAACCGAGTTTTTAAACCACTGATATTTCGCCTGTTTGAATGTGTGAAGGATGCGCAAAGCGCACTTGACAGACTAACGAGTTCTGTTAACACTTTCGGATGCGTCCAGTCTCGTAATGAAACCAGACGATCAGGAATTAGCTGAAGTTGACTGTTTCTCGTACTTGGGTAGCTGCGTGACCAACAACGGTATCGCATCAAAGGAAGCAACCGCTTGCATTTCGCGTCAAGTTAAGACTCGAGCAGCCTATGCGGGACTACAACACCCCTGGCGACAACGTGACTTTTGCTGAAGTTGAAAAATCGCGTATACTGCCCCATTGTACGATCAATTATGCTTTACGGTTGTAAGATGTTGAATTTGCGGGTAGAAGATACTTATCGTTTGCAGTTTTCCACAATTGTTGCTTACGTAGTCTGGCCGAGGTGGGATGGAGTGGGTGGGTAAGTAACTTAGACGTACGTTTTTGGGTGTTTAGGAATGTATCAAACACGAACTCGCTATCTCATCGAATTCAGCTCGATAGGCTCATTGGTTAAGACACGTTTTACGTATATCTAAAGGTTGCCTACAGCACCGAGTTTTACTTTCAGTGGATGTTGCAGACTGGAGAAAGCCACCTGAAAGCCAGCAGATGACGTGAAGACGAGGCATGAAGAAATGCACAGAGCGATTAGGTATTGTATTGAATTGTATTCAAGCTTTAGCGAGTTACATACAAGCTTTCGGCCAGACAATAATTCACCGTTACAATTCTGGTAAAAACAGGGGGAAAATTTGGATGTGAAACGTACAAAAATATGAGTTAATTACTAAATGCATTAAAAATCTCGGAACGAACATTTCCCAAGTCGGTCAGTATCCGGGCAAGATAGGGTACCAAGGAGTTTCTGTAAGCAGATATGCGAGACGGGATAAGTTTGTACTTGGAACAGGTGGAGGGTTGGGATTTGCATGCACACAAATCAGTGTGTACAGGATGGGTGCAATCAGATAGGATATTGTCAGCCAACTTCAAGCACGCATCAATATGGGCATTACACATATTGCCAATCACAACAGATAAGGGAACTTGGGAGACACGGCTGATCACTGAGAGGCCACGCGTCAGCAACTTGAAATGCGCCTTCAAAAAACCAGGGAAAATTACAGGAGAGCAGCGTATGTGCTCTCGTCTTCCGGGCTGGAGTTCAAAAGATTCATGGATTGAGACACTGAAGGTCATGACTGCAAACCGACAGCAATGGGGATCCTGTTGTCACTTCTTATCAGACAAGAATGCTTGAAATTGTTTTTATGCACAGTTGAACTGTGTACTCTATGTTGACCTTACAGATTCTCACTTACTCTGTATAAATTTCAAGTTTAGCAGCGATCACTGAAGTTTGCTTTACGATGATAATGATGGTAATGATGACCTCGAGGAGTTAGCGCGAATTTCTGATTCCAAACCAACCAAGAAGAGGCGTTCGAACGGCACATCTACACTTACCTGCTTGTGGCGGTGCATCTTGGATGTTTGACACCGTTCAACGTATGTATGATCTGATGCACTGTACACTGGCACCCAATGAATTGTGCTTTTCATACACTATTCTTTGCTGCCTTGTGAGTCAGGCTTTGGTTAGCCAAAGGCTCCGTTGGTGAATTCTCCAAGAGAATTAATTTGTTTGGCATAAGAAATGTGGCAATATTACACCTATTAGTATATCGTGAACTGGTTTCTTTGTGATGAAGATTATAGTAATGTGATTGGTTTGTCACAAAGTATGGAATCGGACGAGTATGAAATACAATGATAATAATAATAATATAACATGTTGAGACGGGTTACCAACGTAAACAGTTGTGAACTTTTGCCGAATTATTATTTGTTATATCAGAGGAATGGAGGATTTGAATTGTTTAAGTGATTAACTCGTTTCTACCTGGTTGAGTCTCATCGGCAGTGTGAATCCATCAGCTCAAATGGGGATCGAACCTGGGACCTCACAGGCAGAACGCAAGCATGCTATCCACTCAGCCACCGCACAGCCGATCAGACCGTTTCTCATTTGGAATATACACAATACAGCACTACCCATCTGT